AGGAAGTCCTTTGAAAATTGTCTTGCTCTGTTAAACATAAATTAGGAAATATTTAAAAAAGAATAAACATTTCACAGTAGGGCTAATAAATTAATATATATTTATATATATGTATATATAATCATTTGTACTGTTATTATGCTTACAGCTGGTTGATCTGGTTCATGCATTAAAATTCCTATGGGAAAAATGAATGTGAAAAGTACTTCCAGAGCCAGCACTACTGATCGAGTGGACTCTGGACTCTGAAAAGTGAACTTTACTATAAGAATATAGATGAATATGTGATGTCATTATGCTCGCTGTTGGATATTTTACATAAAAATAAGGTCAACATTCTTCAAAAGATGATTCAAATAATGCTGAGGGCATCGCCATGGGAACCGAATGGCTAGTTCATAATTCAAAGAAAGATATGAGCTGTCCTTGTAACTGTTCACAAGCGCTTCACTCGTACAGTAGATGTATTGTAGTAGCCATGGATTTCAAGGCTGCCAGCGGCTCCATCACAACAGAGCATTTCTCACCTCTTCGCAGCAACGTCCTGCTCCTTTCTCAACACTGCCAAACATGGATGAGCTTCAAAAACGCCTCAAGTGACACTACCAAACATAGCCAGAATTTTCACTCCCGATTACTGCAAAAATGTGTGAGAATTGAACAAATAGTGTTGCGACATTGCGGTTATTGACCATAATAAGAAAGGAGAATGTTTTCAAAAAGCACTATTTTACCTGCAAATATTGTATTTGGGGTGGCAAAACATTTGCAATACACTCATGGTAGCTGGAACGCATCTTATCTTTGATTCAAAAATGAAGGAAATGGAATTAATTTGCAGAAAATGGTGGGGAAAGTAAACCATTATCAAAGGCAAATGCAATTTTACTTTGCTTCATTGCATTTCTCTTTGATTATGGTTTAATTTCCTCACCATTTTCAGCTGATTCATTGCATTTCCTTAATATTTAAAAAAATAAATAAAAAAATAAAAATAAAATATATAAATATATATATTAAAAGCACTATCAAATTCAAGGCTTATAATACACCTTTTCTACCAGATGACGAACTCGCCATCTTTGGCTACTCACAAAAAACATCTTCTCTTTCTCAAACAATGCAAGAGTCCTTAATGGAAGGCATGGTGGTGGCTAAAAGCTATTGCCTAATTACTAGAAATTACCTTTACTCCCCCCATTCCAGAACTGGATTTCTGATATATCTGTTATTCAGATGGAGAGACTCAAGATTTTTAAGACTAGCTCCATAAAAACATTTTTGGCTACATTTTGCTACTTGTCAAGGGCAATCCACTGACCTCTCTGAGGTTTAAGTTACAGTTGAAGTCAGAATTGTTAGCCCCACTTTAATTAATATTATTATTTTTTTTAAATATTTCCCAAATGATGTTTAACAGAGCAAGAAAATTTTCACAGTATGTCTAATAATATTTTTTTCTTCTAGAGAAAGTCTAGTCAAATATTATTTACTGTCATCATGGCTAATGGTTCATTCAATGGCTAATGATTTAGGGGGCTAATAATTCTGACTTCAACTGTATGTGATATTTTGCCTTATTTTTGATCATTATTTAGTGTATAGTTATGTTTTACTGATAATTTCTTGTTTGGTAAATTGTATCAGTGCGTGATTTCTATGGCATGTTATGTACAGTATATGTATCAACATTATTTATATTATATTTACGGTGTTATTTTCTGTATGACCTAAGATGAGCAAAATAAAATAAAATAAATTATGTATTTGTGCAAATATTCTTAAATGTTACAGTCTGGAAAATAAAATAAAATACAAAAAAATAAAATAGAACAAAATACAATAAAAAATAATAAATAAATAAATCAATAAATAAATTAATAAAATATGCATTTGTGGATATTAAGTGAACAAGGAAAAATCGAATTCCTAATGTTACAGTCTAAAAAACAATAAATAAATAAATAAATATATATATATATATATATATATATATATATATATATATATATATATATATATGTATATGTATATATATATATATATATATATATATATATATATATATATATATATATATATATATATATATATATATATATATATATATATGTGTGTGTGTGTGTGTGTGTGTGTATATATATATATATATATATATATATATATATATATATATATATATATATATATATATATATATACATATATACATACAATATGCATTTGTGCATATTAGGTGAACATGGAAAAATCTAATTCTTAATGTTACGGTTTGCAAAATAAAATAAAAAATAAAATAAATAAATAAATAAATAAAGTGATAAGTGAACAAGGAAGAGTCCAATTCCTCATATCATGGTCTGGAAAATAAAATAAAATAGATAAATAAACAAATAAATAAAATATGCATTTGTGCACATTAAGTGAACAAGGAAGGATTAAAGCCATCGTTTTCTCTGTAGACTCACATTTTACTCTTGATATTTAACTACAACATATGTGAATCAGCGGGTGGAGCTAAACAGGCTAAACAGATGTTAATCTTCATCAGTGGAGGCGGAGTTTAGAAACCCCATTATATAATCATAAGTAGCACATTTACAGTCTGTTTAGCTGAATTGGCTTCAAAATAAGCTACAAAACAACTGAAAGAGTACTGAAACAAACAGGATATTTATATACCACAATGACCTCTTATATGTGAAAATGTCAATAAATCTTACAATCTAAGAGATGAGTCAGCTGAACTCTACAGTCACATGGGCCAATCCTCTCAGCCAATGACAGCTGTCGCTCACTGCACCTCCATTCTGCACACCACATGCTCCATTTGTTTTCACAGAGCTGCCAATAGTCTTACTGTAAATGGTCAAAGCCAACAATCTGGACGGAGATTTTAGACTGTAGATTAACAACAGGATTCAGGACGATTATGTTATGCATAATTATGTCACACCAATGTTTGGATTTGCATGAAGAAAACATTTCTATGACGCGTACAACACACACACACGCCGCTAAAAAACACACAGTAGGCTGCATTGATGTGGAAGGCATTCATTTGGCCCAAAATAACAACTCTCAACAGAATGTTGCCCCTGGCCCCTTCTGCCAATTTGCACAGCGAACGTTGAGTGCACACACCAACAGCCAATGACTGTATTCGCAACTAGAAATATCAGCTAAATTTATCTCACGTTTGGATGGGAGTTGAACGTCATGTTTGCCGATATTAGCGTTTCTGCGTCCAATTTGGATTCTACTGCGTTTGTTTTTTTCTGATGGATGAACGTGAGCATTTGATGTGAGAGGTGGACGTGTGTGCTTTGCTTTGTGGCCTAGTTGCAAATGAACACTAACTGAATTAACAGGCTGCTATCGCCGCGAGGCTCCTCACATATTCTGCGGGTTACCAGAGCACTGGAGAAGAATGGAAAAGAGTGAAGGAAGAGGAAGTAGAATTGTGTTTTTTTCGCCATCGGTTTGTCACGTGAAGGAACAAACGGTTGTGTGATCTAAAATGCAGGTTGAGTTTGTCATTCTGAAGGTTCGTATTATTTTTGTTCTTAAAAAGATGTTTAGTAGAATGTTCATGCTGCTCAATTTCGTGCAATGTCTGGGTTTAAAAAAATGATGACGTAGTCTATTTGCTACACAAAATATACTGCTGAAGCTATAAGAGTTTCAGAAAAGAGCATTATTTTGAATTAATAACTGATTATTTGTGTATAATTTGTTTATTTATGCCGAGTTCTTTAAATTAATATTTAAAAAAAAAAAAAACTTGTAAAAGCTAATTGATTTTTATTATATTATTATATTGACAAAAATTATGTCAAAAATTAAAAAAACATTCGAAATGTTGTCTTTGCAATTAGCTTTACTAAAGTTAATAAATAAAATAAATTAACATTATGCAAAAATACCAAACAAAAAAAATAATATGCAAAGGCAGAAAAATGTGATAAAAATTTTGTAGTTCCGTTCTTTTTTTAATATTAATATAATGACAAATAAAACAGACAAACAGACAAAAAACTGTGGCCTTTTACCTTGGCTCTAAGGGTCAAACAACAAAAAATAAGTTCAAGAATCTTGGTGTGATTTTGAGATTAGATCTGAATTTCAATAGTCATGTCAAAGCAGTAAGTATTAGCATACTATCATCTCAAAAACATTGCGAGAATTAGATGCTTTGTTTCCAGTGAAGAAACTTTTTCATGCTTTTATCACCAGCAGGGCGGATTACTGTAATAGACTCCTCACTGGCCTTCCCAAAAAGACAATCAGACAGTTACAGCTCATCCAGAACGCTGCTGCCAGGATTCTGACCAGAACCAGAAAATCAGAGCACATCACACCTGTCCTCAGGTCTTTACACTGGCTACCATTCAGAATAGATTGGTATTATTACTTGTCTATAAATCACTAAATGGCCCAGGACTTCAATTCATTACAAATATGTTCACTGAATACAAACCCAACAGATCACTCAGATCTTTAGAATCAAGTAAATAAGAAATTCCAAGAGTTCAGTTAAAGCAGTGTGAATTCACCTTTAGCTACTGTGCCCCCCTCTGCTGGAATCAGCTTCCAGAAACGATCAGATGTGCTCCAACACTAGGCACATTCAAATCAAGACTGTAAACACATCTGTTTAGCTATGCCTTTACTGAATGAGCACTGTGCTCACCATGTCTATGTGCTTTGCCTTTTCAACTGAAGGTAATAAGAACACTAAAGTTTTGATAACAATTAAATCTATTTAAAAATATTTTTAAAAGGAAATAGTACTTTTTAAAAGAAACAGGGAGGATTATACTATAATAGTGGTATATTAAAAGTAAATAAGTGGTATAAATACAATATAAATAGTGATCGATGAAAATTGTCAGTATGGGGTACACTGTCTCTTTAAGTGGTCATGTCAGTGAATGAGAACGCATGTGTGTTTGTGTGTGTGTGAATGTGCGTTTGTGTGTATGTGTGTACACACTCACAGGGCCTGTCCTCGTTGGGTTTGCTCGGGATCTCTTCCACACATTCCGCAGGGAACCAGCCTACATTCCCTCGGGCACTGCCTTCCCAGAATCCTCCTTCTCCAATACTGAGAACTACAGTACACACAGGGAGAGAGTCAGCAGAAACATATCAAATACTATTTGCACTATTTACAGACGCCATGTGCTGTTCTACATATGACAGTGGAGATCAAAATGAAAGAACCATGTATAAACACTTGATTATATCGGAAATAATGTAATAGTCATCATTTAGAATTTTAGTTGTAGCTATAACATTCTAGTAAACAGTAATTTACAAAATAACTAAAGCATTTCAATGAAAACCATTTTATTTTTGTGGAAAACACAGTGATCAAAATGATGCTAAATAGGAACTACAATTTCTGATGAGCCCCTTCCTTGAAAGACTGCTCTGCTGTGATTTTGATATGCTTTTCTTTAGTCTCTTTCCCAGGTCACTGAAATATACTGAGCCTTTAAGCCATAATTCTGTCGCCAAGGATGTTCCAGAGATTTTCAATCAGGTTTACATCAGGGCTCTGAACTGGCCTCTTCGATATTTTCAGTTTCAAGAAATTGCTTGACCTTTTTTGCTGTGAGATGAGACTCATTGTTCTACATAAAAATCCTGGATGATTGAGCGCTGAACGCACAGAAGGAACCACACGTGGCTTAGGAAGCTTCTGATAAATATTTGCATGCACTCTGCCAAGAAATTTTACAAGAGGCCCAACTCCTGCTGCAGAAAACATCCACCTTTACTGACTTCTGCACACATTTTGGGTTCAGTCCTTCCACAATTTAATGACAAATATAATGTTTCTCTTCTCATTCGGCTAGTTAGGACATGTTCCTGGATCAACATCTATGTTAAAATAACATCAACATTCCTATCAGCAATAAATATTTGCAGGATAGAATGTTCTTATCCTGTCTAGCTATGTTCGTACACAAATGGTTGAGTATAATTATTATCACTAAATGGCCAAGGACCTCAATACATTACAGATATGCTCACTGAATACAAACCCAACAGATCACTCAGATCTTTAGGATCATATAAACTAGAGATTGAAAGAGTTCAGTCAAAGCAGGGTGAATCAGCTTTCAGCCACTATGCTCCTCACTGCTGGAATCAGCTTCCAGAAATGATCAGATGTGCTCCAACATTAGGCACATTCAAATCGAGACTGAAAACACATCTGTTTAGCTGTGCCTTTACTGTATGAGCACTGTGCTACGTCCGACAGATTGCACTATTATGTTTTTCGTTTTCTTTTTCATTCTTTTATAACCTATTTTAACTCATTTCAATTTGTTTTTATCTGTTTTTAATCATTTTTATTGTCTGCAATTTATGTTCCTAAACTTGTCTGGTTTATTCTTGTTTATGTAAAGCACTTTGAATTGCCACTGTGTATGAAATGTGCTATATAAATAAACTTGCCTTGCCTATTATCAAATACCAGTTATCTTTTAGAAAAAAATGCCTCATGTTTGTTGTTATGTTGGATGATTTGGTTCATGTCATTCATTTTTCCAAGCGTGCTTCCGAACGTCTGATTAACATATTGAGCTTCGATGCGCCCCGATTTTCATGTTGTATTGTGGGACTTTTTAGTAAGCTAATGTTTCAGGGATTTTTGCGATTGACTTAAAATGGCTGACGCGCTAATCAGCATCCTGACCACTGAACAAGGGAGCTGATAAAGACACACATAGTCAGACATAACAGTGCAAACGCAAGAAAATCTTGTTTCATTTTATTTTATTTATTTGTTTTACTGCTACACGATACAGAAAAAAATATAGGATTTGGAATATTATTGCTATATTATTGTGATAACAATATCTTACGATAAATTCAATAAATTAAACGATATATCTTATGATAAATTACATTTCCCTACAAAAATGCTTTTTTAGTAGCTATGTTTTTAAGTAATTTATTTCATTCATTTATTCATTTTCTTTTTGGTTTAGTCCCTTTATTAATCAGGGGTCGCCACAGCAGAATGAACCGCCAACTTATGCTTCATATGTTTTATGCACCAGATAAACTTCCAGCTGCAACCCATATTCTCAGATCAAATTAATTCTAATAAAGACTAAAAAGCAGTGTGAAGGTGGAAACTTTTAGGGCCCTATCATACACCCAGTGCAATGTGGCACAAGGTGCCACACAATTGTTGTTTGCTAGTTTTGATGTTTGTAGCACACTGTTTAAATAGCAAATGCATGTGTGCTCATATGTGCGCCCATAGGCATTCTGATCTAAAAAAGGAGGCTTGTTGAGGCGCATTGGTGGTGCGTTGCTATTTTGAGGAACTATAATAGACTGTTCAATAGACCAGATCAAAGCTGGTCTATGGTCCAGCGCAGAGCGTGTTAGTTGTACGCCTCACTTACACATTGCTTAATACACACAGGATGTACAGCAATTTGCAGATATCTTTACAAATGAAAAAGAATTAAAATGTTACAAAAATTATTATTTTCTAGCCTACATAAATATAAAAACCACCGCCTCCATTCCTTCTTCATCTCGGCTGGCTTTTTTAGCTTATTCATGACAATTTGCTTTTGTATAATGTTATATTATTATTAGTAGTACTTATTATATGTATGTTTATATTTGCATTATTAAAAACAAGCTTAGATTTGCCCACCTGTCAGATTTTGTACCATATGTGGCACAGCATGTGTATTTGGATAAAAATCCAAATTAGAACTGAATTCAGAAATAGTTTTAAAACAAATCTTTGCGCTTAATAAACGAAATTATGTAGGCTAATGGATGTCTGTGCATACAACATGTTGCTATCCATGAGAGTGAAAGTGAAAGGCTCATTTCTTATTCTCGCCTGTAGTGTTCAGTTTTTCCACTTACAAAGTCAGCCGTGTAAATAGCAAATGCGCTATGACACAACGCCACTCACTCTTAAAGAGAATGGGAGATGAGACTCTGATTGGTTTATTCTCAAAGCACACCTATTACTCATTAAGAGAATAAGCACAACCCTGTTAGACCATGCGCCAAGGCGCAAATCAGATTTTTCCATCCTTGAAATAGCAAAAGTGGATTCAGACACGCCCTTTATGCTTTTGCGCCCTGCGCTTTGGACTTTGCTCATAGATCGTCAAAAAAAGAGTGCACAGTCTTTAAACACTATAAATGACTGAATTCATTCTCAAAACTTGTCAGTTTCCTCTCTGGTCTTGACTCCTGCTGTCAGTATTTATCTTCAGCTCTGGGTTCACTTTTGGGCCACTCCAGCCAATAGCAGAACAGTAACTACTGAGGAGGTGGGAATAAAGATTGTGAGGCCCCATCTGATTGAATTTAGATGACCCCCAATGCATATACTATCATCCTGCTAACTATAATTTTGCGATAAATTGTCCAGTTCTAATTTGTTTTATTCCATTTTAGACCGTCCGTTAACCATTAAGTGATTAAATTATAACGTTAAATTATTATCAAATGGCAGCATTAACAACAGCATTTGGCATCATTCTGATAGGTCTTTTTCATTTTGACCACTTTTCTTCTGATTTACATATTCTAATGTAGGAGATCAGACCTACTCTATGGTGACTTTGTGTAACTTTTAATTACTTTTTGTGTAACTAAATGCTCTATGGTGATGTTGTTGAAGAGTAGCTCATTGCGGTCAGCCATCGCCTGTTGCCGGAGGGCAGAATCTGTGAATTCTTGCTCTCCATATGGCAGAGAAACTGCACTGCCTGCTACAAACCAGCTTTTCTCTTCATTTGATGCACACAAACCCGCTCTTCATATTTACAGTCAGCAAACATATGCTTTCATCTGGGAGTGAAATGAATGTGTGATTTTCTTTTTTGTTGTATAAGACAGAGGTTTACCTTTGACCCTGTCGTTCTTGTAAAGAACGATTTCTCCCTCGGCCTGCGGTTGGTATGATTTGACCACCACGTAGTGTCTTCCTGGCACAGCGCTGTACAGCTTCCGTTTGGACCCGGGGGTCTCTATGCCGGAAAAGGCATCTCTGTTGGCACGCGGACTGGTGGGAACAACAAGAAAGATGGTCTGGGTAATATAGTGATCATTATTATTATTATATTATATCATATATATATATATATATATATATATATATATATATATATATATATATATATATATATATATACAAATGTTTTGCTTCATTTGCACCAAAACATAAACATTTTAATATCGGTTCAATGCATTTTTACTTCATTAGCTACTCTGAAATAAATGATTCATTGGATTTACTACATTTTTTTAAGTTAACTGGTTGCAAACAACATATTCAGGCTGGATTCAAACAAACAAATTAAGTTGAACATTACTCAATTTAATTAGCTTAAATTCAGCCCATATCAATTATTTACAGTATCAATTGTTTTTTTTTACTGTATTTTTATAATTTTTTTTAAACATAGTATACAAATAACATTTACTTAGAATGTTTACAATCACCAAAAAAGAAACAATTAGAAATAAATAATAATAGATATAAATTATAATATTAGATAAATAATAATGACAGCTTAAAGAAAAATAAATAAATAAATAAATAAAATAAATAAAAACATTTTTAAAAATAAAATAAAAAATAAAAAATAAGGGGGGGGGGGGTTAAACAAATAAAAAAATAAATATAAATATAAATATACAATATAAAGGCAATAACTATGACAAAGACAAAGCCCCTGAAAGCATTTCAAAGATTAAGTAAATATGTTTCGATTGATGCCCAGGTCTGTTGAAAAAAGTCTGATTTCAGCTGCAAATCTGCAGTCATTTTCTCAAATATAAATATCTGTTTCAACCTCTGTGTACATTCTGTTAAAGTAGGTTGGCGAGTCTTCATCCAGTTCACTGAAATTATTTTCCTAGCTGTTATTAATAATATATGAAGTGCAAATAGGTAAGACTTACTGAACTAACCAGGGGGGAAGCCATCAACGAGACAAATTACTGGGTGCATTGGTATGTCATATCCTAAAACCTTTATAATCTCCCTGTTAACCTCCTGCCAATACACCTGAATTTTGGGACATTCCCAAAACATGTGGACACAGTACCCCACTTCTCCACAATCTCTCCAGAATTGTGATAATTGTATAAAATTATTGAATTTGGCGGCCACTAATGGAACTCTGGAAAACCTCATCTTCATCTTCCAATCCAAGTCCTTCCATATTTGACTGCTAGTATCAATAGTTTTTTTAGTGTATAGTTATATACAACTGTTTAATATAAAAAATTGTTATTAACTGATGATTAATTTGTTATTTCGGGTGGTTTGAAAGATAAATTGTGACGGAGGAAATGAGCTGGCAAGTTTGTTATTTACTGGCAAGTTTGTTATGGGCTACAGTTTTTAATTTGAAACAAAGTTTAACAGATTCCTAACAGTTTGTAGTTTAAATGATGAATGACTAGGTATTTTTTTATATTTTTTTGTTTAAAGGTGTTTATTTAAATGTTTAATATCATTACATTATTTATCAAACTGTAATAGCTTAATGCACATTTGTAAATACCAATTTTTGTAAACATAAAATAGTATAGTAAGCACTAAGATAAAAATGTAAGAAATATTTTCAAAAACTGTGGTAATGATCACCATCCGACAAACTAATCCATATATATATATTTATTCATTCATTTCATTCATTCATTTTCCTGTCAGCTACATTCGCCACAGCGGAATGAACCGCCTATATATAAATAAATAAATATATATATATATATATATATATATATTTTTTTTTTTTTTTTTTTTTTTTTCTTCCACAAATTGTATATTATTATAAAATAAAGTTTTTACAATTTTGAGTAGATTGAACATAAAACATAGGGGTTTTACACACTTTTGTAGAGTTTGCACACTTTTAATTTAGCCAGCCAGCCTGACAGCTTCCAGTGAACTGCCTTTCCACTACAAAAGTGCCACGTTTAAGATGTTTTCTTTAAAAATAAGTGATCTTCACTGCCTAATAGATATTCGACATGAAGTGTGTCTCAGACACAAGAAGCACTGCATTAAATTCCATTTTCCCTGACATTCCTTTAAAATATGAACATTCATTTTGAATGGAGTTTCTGCGCTGACCTGCTGGTACTGACAGCGCTAGCAGTAACATGGCATGGTCTATTATCTTGTTTCTTGCTTGAACAGCTAAATGAATGCTTAAGTTTATTTAACTGCTTGTATTTTAATTACATTTTGATGTCGATGTTGTAAAGGGATTCTTATAAAAGTAAAAATAGTCACAGAAACCATAAGTTTATCATTGGCTGAGCTGTGCATATACCTCTAGAATCGTGTTGTTTTAGCTTATAAATAGTTTTAAAAAAAAGCAGCAAAATGATTTTTGAGTGTATGTAAAATGAAATTAAAATGATATAAAAGGTGTGTAAGGATTAGTTAAAGTGTTTTCAGTGAGCATTGAGATCTTCTAGTCCGCTGAGCAGTTATTAAAGGTGTGAGGGCTCCCTCTGCTGGACACACAGCATAATCATCCACTACAGCTCAGAATAGAGCAGAGATGAAGACAGCCAGGCCTGAACTCCTCCAGCTTCATATCTGGTCTCAAGAGATTCTCACTGGGGCTTCAGACGGCTCTCAGCACCCCCCCACCCCAAAATAAAAAAAATCCAGAAAAAGTGCTGACATTGAAGACTCAACAAAAGAACAGGCCTGACGATGCTGTTAATGAAGGTGTTAATGAGGGCGCGATGGGCCTAAAAATAGCACCCAAACTCTCACTGCAAAAGAACATCCAGTTTTCGATGATGACATGCACAATCTCTGAGGTACATCTCCTTATTTTGCCAACTTTTTTCCTTTATTGCCGAACTGACTTCACAGACAGGGAGCTATAGGGGGATGGTCAATGAAGGAAAATATAATATATATAATATTTATTAAAATTTTAACAGTGGTAACAAATAATTCTATAGTGATAATATGACATCAATTTAATACAAAGTATAATTATATAATTTATAAATAATAAGTATAATAATTAATATCTGAAATGGTATAAATATGCAGTATAATAATTTAGTAAAACAACATTTATACCGTTTTAACACTGGGTAGTTGATTGTTTTGATAATAGGATCACAATTATATTAATTATATTTAAAATAAATGACTACATATTTTCTAAATATTATTATTATCTTATTGTAATATATAATCTATCTATTAATCAATCAATCTATCTATATATCTATCTAAATATTATATTATATATTTATATTAATATCTATACTGAAAAATATTATCTATTATTAATTTTTATAGTGTATTTATTAACAATTATTTAATATTAACATATTTATTGATATTTTATAAATAATATTATATTATATTTAATACATTTTTATATATTTATCTTACATAAAACTCCTGTCCTGCCTGTCTGTCTGTCTATCTATCTATCTATCTATCTATCTATCTATCTATCTATCTATCTATCTATCTATCTATCTATCTATCTATCTATCTATCTATCTATCTATCTATCTATCTATCTATCTATCTATCTATCTATCTATCTATCTATCTATCTATCTATCTATCTATCTATCTATCTATCTATCTATCTATCTATCTATCTATCTATCTATCTATCTATACATCCATTATATTGCAAATTGGAATAAAACTGTCCATAAAGATAACCTTAAATCTTTGCACCATACCCGGTACACAACTATCCATAATTTAGTAACAAAAATCAAACAGCATCCCAAAGCAGTGTCCCGTTCACACATGACCTGCCCTCTCTTCCCTCATCACCTCTCGAGGTCCCGGTGCACCTGCTGCCTCCAGCCTATAGGAGCAGATGAAATTGGGACAAAGCACCTACACATGCCCTCTACATGCCTCCTGCTTTTTTTAAGCCTCCACTGAGAGCCAGTCAATGTCAGCGCCCAAAGTCAACACACCCAGATTAGCTTTCTTACGTAATAACGCTTGACGGAGATCATACTGATGTGATGATGAGCTTTCAGGGAGAAAGAATGGTGTTTATGCGCTAAACAGTCCTAAACAGATGCACCTGGTAAATGGGTTTTAAATCGAAATGGGAGAAATTATGTGATGATGAATGGAGACCAAAAAGCGGTAAAAACCGGCAACACCTGGGAGAAAATAACCAGATAAGATATGATGCAAACGGAAAAAAAAACATCACATTTTAGGAATAAATAACTAGACGGCACCACAAAAAAAAAAAAAAATGAAATGAGTTTCAGCGGCAAACTAGCCAATCAGAAATAAGGGGAGGAGTTTATGTTTTTTTTTTTTAATATCTAAAAGCATTCCGGCTGATTATTTGCATGATAACTGCAGGCTCTGAAAACACGAAGTTTGAACATTAAAAACAAAACTGTAAAAAGCTATTTGTTGACTTTAATTAACAAAAAATTTAAACCATGTGCATAATTCTAAAAATTAAGTTAGGTCAACAACAAGTCGCAATAGGTTTACTCACTTTTTAAGTCACAGCGTCACTTGCTTTTGTTTACTAACAGGATGTTTTTCTCAGGCAAATGTTGCCAGCAATTTACCGCAATCGCCCCTTTACAAAAACTGTGTTTTACAGTATTAAAGCCCTACTGCAATTTCATTTTACAGTAAAACAGACTTACCGCAACCTTTTCATGCTAAAATGCCCTTTACCACATTTAATTTTACACTGTTAATTTCTACAGTACATTTACTGTAATATATTTTATTTTACACAGCGGCAGTACAAATCCCTTATTTTTAGTATTAACTACTAAATAAATTCCAAACCATTGACAACATCATGTGCAACATATTTTTATTATATATTGTTATTATATTTATTTTAAATGGTTTACAAAAGTAATTTTCATTCATCAATCGATTTTAAATACATGTTGTGTTACAAGATGCAGCAGCAAGGTGGTGCTGTGGGTAACACAATCACCTCACAGCAAAAATGATGCTGGTTCGAGCCCCGACAGGACTAAGCCGAAAAGAAAATGAAT